AAATATCATGAGTTACTCTTAAATGTCGTTATGTCTTCGGAGTTTTACCATATTAGATTTTACAGTACGATCAAAATTATTTTGTCATAGTCATATTTGGATATTTTAAGAGGCTTGACACAATTACAAAGGTCTTCAGGGGTCCTCTATATCCCTGAACGCTAGTTGCACCACATGACTTTTCAAATATTATGTATTATATTTTTAAGTCGTCATTTCTGTTTTATAGCTTTTAAAGCAAAATATAACCTGCATGGGAATCACTGTGCTAGAGAACATGGGTAATTCTATACTAATGAGTTTTTAATGAAGTATTCCCATTTCTAGCCTGATTCAGGTGTGTTTGTCAGCGAGAGAGAATGTGCCTGTCGTTAAATGATAAATGTCTTTTTGGGGGGGGGGGTGTCCTCTCACTGCCTGCACTGGCCAGATCAGATGGCCGCAGCGATATAAGACCTCCAGCTTTCACGCCGTGTCACTCACGTGGCCCCACTTCCCTCGCTCACACACGCGTACACATTCAGTCACAGTGACAGGGCCGGAGGCGAGCCAATGTTGGGATGACACACTTAATTTAGCGCCCTTCTCTCTGGAGCGCCCAAGAACAATAAGGCCAGTGTGGGCAAACACCCAAGCCTTTTGTTAAGCGGCTGTCCGAAGCGGACTCATAGGAGACGGATCCTGTCCACCATACTGACTCTGTCCACACCCATGCCACAGTCCGCATTCATCTCCCGGTTAACCTCTCCTTTTGTTAGCAAAGAATGGGAGAAATGAGAAGAGCTGAAAGAAGAGGATAACACACTGATAAGAGCACATCGGCTTCTTTTAATGGAAGAGTGCACAGATTAGAGGCTTTTGTTTGTTCGTGAAGTTTATTTGTAATGGACGCTCACCCTGTTCCGGTTGTTTTCCTTCCAGGAAAAGAATGGGAATATACATTTTCTGACTTTGCATTGTCTTATGTTGGCTTGACAAAGACAACTTACTGATGTACTATTTAAGCTTTTTTTTTTTGAAGATCTATGACCACCAACTTATTTATCTATGTATCTATCTATCTGTCTGTCTGTCTAATTCCATCCACCCATCCATCCATATTTCGTCACTGAAAATATTTGACCGAATTAATTTTCTGATCTTCAGTTTGATGAATAGATCTTTAAGTCTATACTGTTTTCAGTTAATGCGTGAAGAGAACTTCTCTACACATTATTTGTAGATTTTTATTATTTGTTACAAAATTCAAATTCTGCTCTAGAGAGGAGCATTTTGTTAAATACATGCACTATATTACATATTCAGTATATTTTTTCTTAAACTGTTGTCTGCATTATTTAATGTATGTTAGAATAAATTTGTCATGATGTTTTTTTTGTTTTTTTAGCCACCATTTAATTGTTTATTTTTTAACAACGAATTTGAGTTGACAGTTGCTGCAGTTGCTGGCTTGTAGTAAGTAGGAAATGCCTGCGTGAGATTTATTTTTTTGGCCCCCGTTTTGCAACATTACAAGACCTTGCAGGTTGTCAACCAGGGGAGGGTAAAATAGGTGCAAAGCAGGGTGTCACCGGCCCGAGCCTTAAATAATGAACGATTACTCCCATCAGAGACGCGACGTGGTGTTCAATTAGCCTCTCCTGCTGAATGATCGCTTGTCACCTTCCCGATGGATGTGCAAAATTAATAAACCTAGATCCAAACCAGGCTGAGGTAGAAGACATAACAGCTACCTGCTCAACACAACATGCCTGGAGAGACCACACGTACACCGTCATTAAAAGATCATCTCGTTTCTCTCTCAATCGGTCCCTTCCTTTCTTTCTCTCCCTCTTTTCCCCTCTTTCATTCTTGCTCTTTTTTTCCCTGAGCCTCACACACACACACCTCAGTCTTAGTTAATGAAGTAATGGATATTCACCCTATGTGACAGATGGTCCGCTAGCGGCAGCACCCTTGTTATAACTCGTCAACTTGTGTTTACCACTCAGCAGGAGAGCCTGTTTTTATTGTACTCAGGAAGCGCTCTTCTCTTGTCTTGAACGCTGGGTTTAGGGTGTACAGAGATGTGGACTGACCTAAGGGAACATCCTCCCACATGTATAGCTCCATCACCCAGGGCCCGACTGATCTCAGAACAGACACTGGCCTCATTACCTTAAATCCAGACGATCTTACAACAAACGTACGTGTGTCACCCAAGGCCAGGCTGATCTCAGAACAGTTCCACAACATAAAATTTGAAATTAAAATTCTATGCACTGCTGCTTTACCACATTAGGATTTCTATGAATGCTTAAACATCATTATAATGCCTTAAGGTCATTTTTTGTTTTTAATTTAGGCTTCTATTTAGGAATTTTCTATTTCTAGTCAGTGTCAAGTCGTGTAAACAAGGTGCCATCAGAACCAAATGTTACTCTTTTGCCATTGCAGTGTCAAGATTATATTTTTTAATACAATGTTTAAGGTGCGTCCCAATTTGAATACGTGTGCACTATTCTGTGCCATTTCGTAGAATAAATAGTGTGTTCACATTGAAAATTCCAAAAAGAAAAAGAAAAAACACTTTAGATACCTGATTGATGCACTTCATTTACTGTCACAGCTTTCCTTATTTAGTGAAGGGGGAGGGGCATCAGACTCCAATGCTGGATGACAAACTACATTATAAAATTCACACACGATGTGGTTGAGTGCATAGTGTATAGTGCGTCATTTGGGACACAACCAGTACACACATCAAGTACTTGAGTGAAAGTTACAGATACCCTAAAAAAAAAAAATCACTCCAGTAAAATATTAAGTACTGGTTTTCAATTTTACTTGAGCAAAAGTACAAAAGTATGTACTAGACAAACAGATAGAGATAAAATAGGTTACAGCTCAGTCTGACATTAAGAATTATTGTGTATTTTCAAGCAGCCAGCACTAGTCAATATGGAAGATTGTTCAGACACTTAAAAAAAGTTTTATTTTATTACCAAAAGTGTCATACACTGATAACTACCCTACTGATAATTACTGAAAAGTGTGCAAACAAGTCTAAATAACAATCTATACCATATAGAAATTAGAAAAAAACAATGTGTGTAAATGTGTGTTGACAAGTATGTTCATTCTCGTTTTATATAATTTGAAACTCCATTATATTTAGTTTTTAACGTAAACCTGCTTTCAGATGGTGATACACAAATATGGACATGTCCACATTCAGGCATTTCATACTATGGGCTTAAACAGCTCACCCTTTTACAGCAAATATAGTTCACAAACCACTGACAATCGTGACCTAAATATGATTTTCATTTACAATAATAAATCCTAAAATTCAGCATTAGTAACTTACTTTTCACGCCATCAGTTCGCTCACACTCAAGCTTTGAGGATCTTTCATTCTTCGCTCATTTTGAGTCCGGCCTCTGAGTGGATCATTTGAATCAGTGAGTTGACTCAAGAACAATGCAATCGGATCGGTCCAATCCACGGATGAATTCTTCAGTGCGATTTGCGAACAGATTTAACAGGTTCATTAAAAAAAAAAAATCAGCTCATTTACGAATTGGACACCGCTATCGCATCTCTGAGCGGGTGACGATCCCCTCAGTTCAAAATAACGTTAATGAATTAATAAATAATGTTTTTATTAACTAGTAAAAAGTATGACATTATGCTTTAGAATGTAGTGAAGTAAAAGTTTCCCAAAATAAAAATACAATAAAGTGAATTTTTATTTTATATTTTTTATTTGATCCCCAATCCCAAGGGCCTTGGTTCAACCCGTCAGTTTTTGATTGGATGGGGTCAGATCTGAATGCGAGTTTGCAGTTGATTGTAATAAAGGGGCGGGGTTTATGATGACTAAATGATTAGAGAAGTCCAGCATACGTCACCAGAGAGAAGCCTGTCATTGGCGTTCTAATTCAAAATTACAAGGTCAAGAAAAAATGTATAAATAAATAAACGTATGCAAAGATGAATTGTTAACAATAAGATCAACAACATTCATTTAGGGATTTTTTTAAATAAAAAATAAATAAATAAATTCTTTTTGTAATATCTTTATTAAAAATGATTTTTAAAAATTAATTCTGATTTCATTCTCTGCTAAAAAGTAAAAAAAAAAAATCAATCAAAATACTCGATGTACTTTGAAGATTGACAAAGTGAAGTTTATTATTTACAGGTTTTCCGCTTCAGAAACAAAATTTGTCAAATACAAACTTTACTGTGAGTCCTCTCAGTAAATCCTGTTTTTTTTTCTCTCTTTTTTTTTCACCCTCTCTTCATACTGTGTTTGGATACCAATTACCACATAATTAGGCCAGTTTAACGGTGTGTGACAGTTGGGGTTCGTGGCATTTTTTTTTAATAAAAATTCAGGCTGTGGAGTGACTGAATGAAAAACAACAAGAAGTGAAATGGGCAGAGAGTGACAGAAACTTGTCGGCTCTGATGTCGCACGCTCCGTGGCAGCCAGAGCAAGAAATCTATTATTATCCGTCCTGTCTGCACGTTAATGTTTAACAAGTCCAGCGAAGTGACACGCCGCCGCTGCAGCGTAATTGCTAATCAACGGACAGTTTTATTCCCTTCTTGCCTAATGAATTTGGCTGAAATGAGGTGTGGGCGTCCGGACCCTTAAACGGGCAGTCAGCCGCCACTGATGTGCGTAGGAGAGGAAGGTTAGTGCTCGTGTCATAGTGCTAATGTGCTCGCTAACACTCCAAGGGGAATGTAGCTCACGGTGCACTTTTTTTTCTCACTCTCTCGCTCCTCCTCAAAGTGTGCAAATAAACTGGCCGTCCACTTGAGTACAATATAACAGTGTGTGTTTTTTTTTCTTTATGAACCACAGACCGTTTTAGCCCTCTCTTGCAACTCATAAACTATTTTTCCAGACAAACCTGTTTTATTGTAAGAAAGAAATGAATAAATGAATACTTCAACAAGTGTTTATTTTCGGTAACTGTGCATCTGTTTTTTTTTTTGTCTCTCAGGGCATGTTGTTGAAAAGAAGCGGCAAGTCACTGAACAAAGAGTGGAAGAAGAAATATGTCACGCTTTGTGACAACGGAGTCCTCACGTATCATCCCAGTCTGCATGTAAGTGCCCACACACACACACACACACGCGGCCTGTACACGTGTATTGTATCTGCCTTTCTCCTCATCCTATTGGTCCTGCCCTGTTAACATTGTTCTCTGTTCGCCCATCACTGCAACATCCTGTTTTTTTATGTTCTTTTCACTGACGTTTAACGGATTATCGTGTCCGCTTCAGTAAGCATGGTGTCTGATGACACGTCTTGTCCTTAATTACTGCCTCATCTGTTTGCACACGGCTGATGCTGTTGATGTGTAATATAACGCTGTAATGGCTTGTCATAATCACCAGCTTTGACGACCTGTTTGCACACATACCAATAGAAATGGCCGTCTTTTATTGGTTGTTTTCCTCTCTGGGGTTTTTTTGGACTCCAATCAGACCTCATTGTTAGCATTAACCAATCCCAGAGTAATTCTACAAATCACAGATGCAAATGAAAAAAAACTGTATAGAATGGATGGATGAAAAGACATGGATAGCATATAGTCATAGGTCAGTTCTTGTACAATTTAAGATAGAAAGACTTTTGTGAGCTGTTGCATATTATAGAATAATTATCCTTGGGCAGCTAAAGGATTGTGTTTCAGGACCCAGATTTAACATTGGAATGATCCAAGTGGCAACCCGACACCGTATCAAACTTGTTTATTGTACAAAAGTAAACACAAATGTCCTTAATGTTTTCAGAAACTTTTAAATACATTTTCATGCTCCCTGTAGCGGTTTTCTTTTTTGTCATCTAAGATGCTTTCCATCATTTTGAGAGGAAAAAAATATGCATCTGGACAAAATAATAAAATAACGTGTTAGGTCTATAATATTTTATCAGATCGCAAGAGCACAGTGTCTGTTCTTTCTCACATTATGAAAGCTAAAAAAAAAAAAAAAAGTGAAATTAATGCTAAATGATGACCATTTTTCTGGTAAAATAACCTTTTAATGTAAACTAGGTTTGTTCATTTGTTAAAAGTTGTCACAATTTGTGTAAAAAAAACAACAGTTTTGGATATTTTAAGGTTGATAAACCTTTTTACTTTGATATCTACCTTTTTCTCATTACTATATTTTTCTTCTGTCATTCGAACCCTTCAGAACAGACTGGGTTAAATGCCCTCCTGACGCACTGATGCAGATTTTAGACCTGTAACTTTTCTTCAAAAAAAAAAATCTTATTCCCCTTCTTTATTTCCAATTATCTTTAGATGAGTCCAAAGGACCCACACTTTTAAATAAAAAAGAAAGAAAAGAAAATAGTTTGTCAAATTCACTGAACATAATTTAAACTCGCATGCATTAATTCTCTAATTAATAACCTCATCAGGGTGAATTAGAGGAAGTGTGCGTCATCATATACCGTCCCCCTCCTCCTTTTGACTGTGAACAGGTTCCTCTCATCAGCAGGTGTCTGCTACACAGGCATCAATTAGAGTGTTTGCGGAGGCTAATAGGATGAAACTCAATCAGGGCTCTTAATTGCTCAACTATGTGAAAAAGAAATCACATTAATGCAGCTGATTAAGTGGATGGCAATAGATGCAACCTAATTAGTGAGGGGAAAAATATCCCAAATAGCTCATCCATGTTCACATCCATTATAACCACAACTTTTTTTTGGCACATAACTATTGTGCGTTGATTAAACTTGCACTGTTTTGTTAAACATTACGCGATTATGCTTTAGCGCAGTGCGGCTTGATAGATGAATCTATGCAGAGCATCAATTTTAAATGCACATCTTGCCCCTGAAGTGGCCAGATGATGGTCTTTTCACCAACCGTTAACATTTGAGCACTCCAACTCCCTAAACGAAATCCCTCAAGTGGGCCTTTATTTTAAATCGAGAGTTACGTATGGACCAGTCCCCGGAGTGTATGTCCTACATGAAACACAATAACATACGTTCTTCAATAGAGCAGCTACGTGGAGTGTTTGGCCTTAATGAGCAGGGGCAAGGCTTTGAGAGGGAGTGTGTACCACCCGGAACTGCCATACATCAGCTGAGTGCCAATCAAATAACACAAAGACCTGAAGACTCTCTGTGTATGTGTGCTGTACCGAGCAATTTACGGCAAGAGCATAACATGTCCATCCCTCACTAGAGGCCAACAAAAGGGCAATTCAAAGCCAAGAGCTCTCAACACGGTTTAACAAGCCACAGGAGAGCCCTTCAGGAGTGGCGGGCCAACAGCTTGCGGCTGGTAATTGCATCCCTATTAGCATTGAGTAACTTTCATCATCAACGCAAGCAAAGCCGCGCGCAAATCCAGACAACGCAGTTAGAATCCAAACACATGCTGCGATGGCATGCTGTGATCTGCGGAAAAGGAAAACAAAGATTTTACATGTGCTCTAAAAAGCATTCGCTGATTTTCTGCATACAAAAGTGCATTTCATCACCATGAATTTCAAACATGTCGGTATTGATTTCTTCACCTCCAGAGGGTGGGAAGGATTAACTGTGTGCTAGACAAAATAAATTTAGTAGACACTTTTCATCCAAAGTGTCCAATGCTTTTTGGAGTAATCTTTTTGTCATTTTTACCTATAGGATTATATGCAGAATGTTCATGGGAAGGAGATCGACCTGCTTCGGACTACAGTGAAGGTTCCAGGAAAGAGGCCCCCCAGGGCCATCTCCACATGTGCGGCCCCCAGTCCCAAAACCAACGGGTTGACCAAGGACATGAGCAACCTGCAGCTTGGACAGGCACCAGGTAACGTGATCATGCTTTTTTTTTTTTTGCTTTGCTTTGCTTTTTGTTTGGCTTTTTGTTTTATTTTGCTTTTCGCTTTGCTTAGTTTTATGATATATGTATGTGTGTGTGTGTGTAGATAGATAGATAGATAGATAGATAGATAGATAGATAGATAGATAGATAGATAGATAGATAGATAGATAGATAGATAGATAGATAGATAGATAGATAGATAAAACAAAATGAGATAATATACATTTTTCCTATTTAATATAAAATATATATTGGCCATCCTTCCAGATAATATGAGCATGCTTGATTTGTTTAATGTTTTTTATATATACTATATATATATATATATATTAATATGACAAAATAGATAACCATTTTTATTTAATAGAATAAAATGTATACTGGTCATTCTTCCAGAGTGTTTTTCTGACTATGGCCTGAGAAGCGACCCTACATATGGTAAATGAATGGATGTATAATAAAATATATCAAATTGAATATATATTCATAACAATTATTCATAATGCATATTAAAAATGATATAACACATTTCCTTACATTGTAAGGAATGTAAGGAAACACTTGTTTTCCTAGAAAACAAATGTATTAATGTGTCTTAATGTCATTATAATGGGCCTCAGAAGTGCACAGTCTTCATTAGTAGAGAATAAAACAATTAAGTTATTGTTTAGTTATTCGTATACACACTCATTGGATCAACAATCCTTAAGCCCCCCCAAGGAGTGTTAAAGACCCTACTCAGGCACAGACACACACACACAGCACCAGAAGGACCAAACTAATAGCATGAATATTCAGTGACCCATAATACATGTACTAATTATTGTCATGAATATTAATGCAATCAGCGCTCGTTCTCCAGTCAGGCAAGTCCGAAATGAACACTAATGAGAGAGAGAGAGAGAGAGAGAGAGAGAGAGAGAGAATGAGAATGAGGAAAGGAGGGAGGCTGCGGTAGAGGAGAAAAGAAAGATATTTCACAGCGTCAAGGCAGTGAAAGCTTTTGTAAGTCGAGTATTTGACTGTAGGGCTGGATCACATGCACCTCTTATTCCTTTGGTCTTAACATCTCTTTTTGTGAAAGCTCCCATTATCCACCGAATCCATTATAGCATATCTTCACACACTGCTGTTCTTGCACTGTGTGTGTGCGTAAACCCTGATACATGCATGCATAGTGTTTATTTTTTTCTTCCAGATGGCCACGGATGTAAAAATGTAGTTTATCAGGCCTCTCCTGAAGTACGCTCAGATTCTGCCATTTACCCAAAGGTGCTGCCGTCTGATTTATCCGCTACAATGGAGATTAAATTGAGTCATGACATTTCATTCAGTCGAGTTTGCAACGGGCCATTGGAGGCCCGTGGGTACACCTTTTTCCAACAACATATTAAAAACCAGAAAAAGAAATATTTACTGAACCCTTTTTTTTTTTTTTGACTACATCAAGTGTTTTGTGTGCACTGACTGTAGCTAGGGCAAATAACAAGTGGTATCATCACATCAGCGTTATTTACATTTTGTTCGCTGCTATTGGACAAACTGTTAAAGGGTTAGTTCACCCAGATATGAGAATTCTGTCATTATTACTCACCATCATGTCGTTCCAAACCCCTACGACTTTCACTCATCTTCGGAACGCAAATCTTTTTGATGAAATCTGAGAGGTTTCTGTCCCTCCATTGACAGCCTACGCAACTGCAGCTCAAACGTGCGGCGTAACCAATGAGGTTCGTTCTCGTGTTACGCAGCACGTTTGAGCTTCCGCAAGAGGTTAGTTCTCACGTGTCATTTAGGTTCGGTTGAGCTTTTGTTTGTGTTCGCTGATCAATGTTTATATGTAAGTAAAAGCCTAAATTAAATCTGTTTATCATAAAAAAGCGATCGAGTCTCTTCAGACAATTTGGACTAAACCACTCAATTCATATGGATTCGTTTTCCAATCTCTTTATGAACTTTTTGATGCGTCAAAGTTGCAGTTGCGTAGGCTGATAATGGAGGGACAGAAAGCTCTCAGATTTAATCAAAAAGATCTTCATTTGCTTTCTGAAGATCAACCAAAGTCTTAAGGGTTTGGAATGACATGAGGGTGAGTAATTAATGACAGAATTAAAATTTTTGGGTGAACTAACCCTTTAAATTGTCAGAGTTGAATTTCATCTGTTGGTAAGCCCAGCAGCCTTATGGTTGATTGTGTTTGAGTCAGTATTTGCACGTCATATAATATCTTTCTCACATTTGTTTGTGCTCAGTTGTGCTGTAATCTTATTAGTGCGATTAGATATGACTTCCTATGATGTCCACTTTAATTTCCATGCGAGTCAGACAAACCTCTCCCACAGTTTAATGATGACTCACGGTGGTGATAATTAACCTTTAAGTAATCTGATGTCACTATTTATGCTCCTTGACGAGAACAAATAAAGAAGTTTGGTGCATGTGTGTTAGTTATGCTTATTATTATTGTCGGACTCGTTACCAAAACTATTATGAAGGCAACAGCTAGTAGATTTCAGTAAGATAATCTTTAATCTCTTGATGTGGATGGTATTAAAATTGCATACTGTTTTGTTTAAATAATGTAAAAAACAAAATGCTATCAAATAAATCATTTTAAATGCCTCAAGTGAATTTAATCATCACAACAAAATGGTGTACAGTGCACATGAACGGTATAGAAAATAGATTTGCTAAATATTACATTTAACGGGGGATAATTCACCCAAAAATTTTAATCATAATTTACTCATGTCATCTCAAACCAAGACTTTCGTCCATCTTCGGGACACAAATGAAGACCTTGTAAAAGTAATCCAAACAAATTGAGCTGTTTAATCCAAGTCTTCTCAAGGAGACACTTTATATGATTAACAGATTTAATTTAGGCTTTTATTCACATATAAACATTGATAATTGAATTTTACTTTTGTTGGATGAAACTATCTCTAGAATTATTCATTTTTTAAGATGAACGATAAATGATGGCAAAGGTAATTTAAATGTAAAATTACCATACACAATTAAATATCCAATATCGACCGATATTGCTAAATTTAAATAATATCGGATGATAACCAATATCGTGCCTACTTATTGTACAAAAAATAAATTCATTAACTGGAGTTTGCAAAAGAATGAAATCAATACACTATAACACGAACAAAAACTAAATGGCATTACAGATAATTTTCTATCAAATTTTGAAACGGGATGAGTAACAACTCTGTAAGTGCATTGGGTATATTATAACAATGGTGTATTAATTATCATGCATCTCTCTCACAGGCTCTGTGACCAGTAGTTCCTCAGCGTCTCAGATGGCGAGTGGCATCAGTCTGGTGTCGTTTAACAGTCGGCCAGACGGGATGCATCAGCGCTCATATTCTGTATCCAGCGCTGACCAATGGAGTGATGCCACAGTCATCGCCAACTCAGGAATCAGCACGGGTAAGTGTCGGACATGTGATGCCGCCTCAAACTGCGGGGGAGGGGGGCTTTTGGGTTGTGTACTTGTATACATGTTGTTTTCTTAAAGGTTTTTCTTCAGAACAGAGAACAGAACCTTAAACAGTGATTTCTTATCGTATAGTTGTAAACGCACACATACACCCACTCCACCTTTCATTGATTCTTGTGTCAAGCTCTAATGCTGCTTTAACTGTTTATCAAAGTAATGGCCACTCAGGAGAAGCACATTACCAAAGGCCCATCTGTCGACGGCGAGTCGCTAGCAGAGGAGAAATGTTTGGAACATGATGTTTATCAGTCTGTCACCTTTCTGTTGTCATATATAATTTCATACTTTGCTATTTTTATGAAATCTCTCCTGTCTGCAAAGCCACAGGGGGAAATGGGAACACACAGATGGAAGTCACTGTTGGACTGACAGCTGTCAGACACCATGTGTATATGTGTGCTGATGAACTGCAATGACATGGTGTGACTTGTTTTAGGCTTGTCGTTTGACCCTTATCTGTAGTTGCCTCTGTGTTTATCCCTGATAACGATTAAAGCTGTGAAAAGCTTAAACGGGCTGCGCAGCAGGACACTACACGCACACAGCTGAGCCACAGACCCCACACATGACGTCAGCAAAGGAACTTGTACTCGAAATACATCAGTCGTGTATACACACACTACCAGTCAAAAGTTTGGGATCGGTACGATTTGTAATGTTTTTAAAAAGTCTCTTCTGCTCACCAAGGGTGCATTTATTTGATAAAAAAAATAAAATAAAATAAAAACGTGATATTGTTAAATATTATGACAATTTAGACAGCATCTTTACTCCAGTCTTTAGTGTCACATGATCCTTCAGAAATCATTCTAATATGTGGATTTGATGCTCAAAAAAACATTCATTCATTATTATCAATTTTGAAAACAGTTGTGTACAATTTTTTTTTCAGGATTATTTGAAGAATAGAAAGTTCAAAAGAACAGCATTTATTTGAAATAGAATCTTTTGTAACATTATACATGTTTTTACTGTAACTTTTGATCAATTTAATTCATCCTTGATGAATAAAAGTATTGATTTCTTTTATTTCATTCCCCCAAAAAATAAAATAAAAATTCTTACTGACCCCAAACTTTTGAACGGTAGTGTTTAATGTTACAAAAGCTTTCTATTTCCAATAAATGCTGTTTTCAGATAAATGCTTTTGAACTTTCTTTTCATCAAAGAATCCTGAAATAAAAACTGTTTTCAACATTGATAATAATGAGAAATGTTTCTTGAGCATCAAATCATCATATTAGAATGATTTCTGAAGAATCATGTGACACTGAAGACTGGAGTAATGATGCTGAAAATTCAGCTTTGATCACAGGAGTAAATTACACTTTACTATATATTCACATTGAAAACAGCTGTTTTAAATTGTAATAACATTTCTCAATATTACTGTTTTTTTTTTCATCAAATAAATTCAGCCTGAGTGAGCAGAAGAGACTTATTTTAAAAACATTACAAATCGTACCGATCCAAAACTTTTGACTGGTGGTGTGTATATATAAGGGCTGTCAAAAAATAACGTGATATAAATGATGTGAAATTAACGCACCCGCCCCAGACCTACGTAGGTCATCTTACGTTTTATATAGTTGATTGGCAGTGTTGTGTGTAACGCGTTACAAAGTAGTAGTTCCTTTTTCAATTCGGCGCAACGTTATTTTTCCCAGGGACTTTTGCACATCCATCTTACTCACGCCGTTCACTTTTCATAATCAACATTGATGGGAAAAAAATAGCATTATAATATTTTAACAAATATGAAACTAAATGCGCTTATTTAATGGCTACAACACAGGCCTACAGACTCTCTATTTGTACAAATTGCTGCACATTCATTTAATTCTGAATTTTGCACACATAAGTTGAAAGTTATTTGTTTACATGCATAGTAAAACATATCTGCAACATTTATCAAGTTATCAACATTTATCACGGTTAATTGTGCGTGCATTTATTAATCATTATGATTAGGGGTGCTCCGATCAGGATTTTTGGGGCCGATCACCGATCGCCGATTACTGGAAGCTGTATCACCCGATACCGATCACCGATTACAGGGTCTATTTGAAGACTTCTTTTTATCATGTAGCATTACTTATTAAACTATATTTAACAACAATGTACATTAAGTATTACATTTAAGAGAAGACAATGCATAATGAATTGACACCTGTGTATTTATTTGCAAGCAACATGTATTAACATAGCAGCTTGGTTATTCGGAGCAGCTTAGGGCTTGACATACAACTTTCCTGTAGAATATAAAATAAAATAAATAAATAAAAGACAGAACATCTGAGTCTTTAAATTTAGCTTTAGACTACTTTAAACTAAAAACAGCCACAAAAAAGGCTATAGCCAAAATAATGTTTTGAGTCAGTCAGCCATCAGTTTTTCTAACAGTTTTTTTTTTTTTTTTTTTTTTTTTTTTTTTTTTTTGTGTAATAACGTGGAGCAATCTTAAACTTAATCATAATCTTGAGTAACAATTGTAAGTGTGGGGGTCTGCTTGACACAGTTTAGCCCTTCGTTGATTGTATTCTTTAAGGTCTTGATTGTATTTCTTAAAGTCTATTTATTGTGTGTAGTGGGTTGTGTGTAGCTGCCAGCTGGCTGTCTATGTTTACGTTTATGCTGACTCAACGAGCTCTGCTACAAAAATTCCTATGTAACTGTATAGCTGTACTGGTACAAATGGCAAATAAAACTTTAAACCTTTAAACCTAAACCTAATACACTTAAAGGACCACAGGTAGTAAAGTGCACAGCAACAACAAAAAAACTAACAACTTCCATATCTGTATCTATAACTTTGCTTTTTTCTGGGATGCTTAGTCAGATTTTGTGAGAGGAAGAGAGAGGTAGAGAAACCTTTTTTTTGTGTGTGTCTGTGTGTGTGTGTGAAGAACCCTTGCAAAATTATTTTAAACAGATTAAGAAAGCCCCCACTACTGGTCACATTTATGGTTAGATTGATTTTTTTTTTTAGATCCAGTGAAGTCTGTCCCACAATGTACCTAATATAAATAAATAAAACCTCTTCAGTTAACTAGCAGATCATTCATTTAGTTCGCTATTAAATAAGAAGTCTAGCGCTAAAATGTGTTTTTGAACTCAAGCTGCGCGCTCGTTGCCGCGGCGATCAGTTGCATGGATACAGTGCTCCTCGCGCAGGCTTCACTCGGACGCGCGCTTCAATCTATCGCCGTTGCGGACTCTATTTATTCCGGTGTAATCAGAAAATAAAACACAAACGTATCCTTGCTTGATATAACTTTAACCGCTGATGAACATATTCAGTTTTGATGAGAGAAAAAAATATGTACGAGTGATTTGACGGACACACGGGGAGGGGGGGTTGGATACATTTTTGTCATTGGTTGTTGCGTTAAATCTTACCCAGATACAATAGTGCTATTTTCTGATTGGCTATTGTGTAGCTCGACGAACAACACCAGAGGAAACGCGCTTGATTCATGCCGGTTCCACAGTGAGAGCGGCGCGGCCAGAGTTTTGGCCACTGCGGCATATTAAATATATTACAAATAGTTTTTCAGCGTGAGAAATACAATGTGTGGCGGGAGAGCGTGACAAAAGACCGAAATGAGTGACTGTCACGCTCAATGCTTGACACTTGAGAGCCCTGTTGTAGAATTGCCAGACCGGTGAAGCCATTTTTACCAGGGCGTAAAAAAATTGTCTCGCGAGTTTTCTGGATCGGCCTTTATAGAGACCGCCGATCACACATCCCAAAGCAATTATCGGCCGATCATGATCGGCGACCGATCAATCGGAGCACCCTTAATTATGATACTAAAATCATAATAAAGTAGGCTATACTATGTACAAAAAATCAGATGAGCCCAGAATATGAACGCAACGTGTTTAATTACACCTTAAGCATTTTCCTCCCATAGAAAACCATTATAAGAACGCTTAATTTGGCTTAATGCAAAATAGAATATCCCCATATTATGTCGAAATAACAAGATAAGTTTTCTTTTTTCTTCTTCACCATGCGGTTTATGACTTCCATAGAATACAGCCTGAATATATTTGCTTCCAGAAATAATTTTTGGCGGTGCTAACAGGGTGTTTTGGTCTTTCTTGGGGGCTTTCTTTCTAGCCCCTCCCTAGCGCCGCCCATGCATGTGCCTATCTGTTAACGGGCATTTCTTCATAAATATTCAACATTTTGTTAAATGCATTATGCATTTATGGCATTATATATGGCATTATGCATTGTAGAACTTTATGTAGGCCTACACATTTAGGAACAGATATTGGGTTCTGCCCAGTGAAGCAACATAAAAGTAACGTAAAAGTAACGAGTAACGTAAAAAGTTACTTTCCATATGGGGTAACTAAGTAAAGTTTTTACTTTTTAAAAACTACTTTACTTCTTACTTTTTTTAAGAAGTAACGAGTAACAAGTTACACTACTTTTTGAAAGTAACTTCCGCCGCAACAGTGTGGTGATGAACATGAAGCAGGGCAACAGCTCACTGCATGATGGAGCCTATAGAATGCAGTTAAAATGTCCCTAAAATTCAAGATATTGGGGCAAAAATGCCCCTGTATGAGTTTTTGGCTCATATTTATATCATAAGTTAAGCAAAATCACAAGTGCTTTTTTTTTTCTTCTGAATAGCACATGTGCAAATGTGACATTGATTTACAACAGTCCAATAAATAAGTTAATATTGTGGTATCTTTTAAACATAATATTGTCTGTTTTACCTAAACGTTGTTGGATTTTGAAGGCGAACACACACCTGGTGTTTCCTTTCTAATTGGATTTGCATATTGAGCGAATCAATCGGGTGAACCAATGATTCAATGGCCTATTCATAAAGAGAGCCATTTACTTCATTCATTCGATTCGTTCAAACGGCTGATTCATTCAGGAATTAATTACTCAATTACTTAC